TGCCGGTCCCCAGCAAACGGCCGCTGCTTTGGGCTTTTGTTGGAGGGGCTGAAGGGTCTGAATGCAGCCACCCCCTCCCCAGGGCAGGGTGGGTGAGTGGGCCTGGGGTGAGGGACCGCTGGGGCTGTGACTATGATGCTGTGACTCCTAAAATGCTGTAGGCGGTGGGAAAAGGGGAGGTAGGACTTCCAGAGTGAAATCTTCAGATGAAATCTTGGCCTTTTCTGGCCAGCGGGAATGCTGCCCGGACTTCTGTCCGGATGGGAATTCACTCCCCCTGTCCTGAGCTCAAAACCACTTTGTTTGGCTCACTCCAGTCACTCTCCTGTGAAACTCAGCCTTTGCACGAGATGTCAGTGGTGACATAGTGCAGGCATCACTGCTGTTTTGCTAACACTGGGGAGGACTTGGTATCAGAAATGCCTCACCAGATAAGAAAGTTAGAGACATGCAACAGCCCGTGCGTGGTCACGTCCCGAGAGGAAGAGGAGGGTAACCTTGATCTCTGCTGCATGCCTGCAGGAAGAAATCTCACATGCGGGCTCCCAGCTCGGCTCTGTCTGGGCCCTAAATCTCATTTATTCAGGCAAAACTTCCACTGTTCACAGCAAGGATTTTTGCCAGAGTAAATACAGTGGATCTGGGCCTTTGCCCCATTTCGTTTTGCCGTAGGCGGATTGATTGCTCCATGGGGAAAGCCGTGCTTGAGCCGTGCATCCCTCCCTTCGCCGTGTTGCCCAATGCACAGACGCAAGGCTCTGAACTCCTTCAGGATTTGTATAGCCAGACAGGAGCAGATAAGGAGGACACGTCTGGCGTTCAGGCTTTGCTTCTGGTTGTGCTGCTGCTTTTTCTTAATTCACCTCTGCCCTGAGAGCTGGGATGCTGATACGCAGCTTCACGGAGGGGTTTGAGGACTCCTGTAGTTGTGATGCAGTTGGGAAGCGCTACCCAACCCTCTCCTTCCTGCTGCTTGCTTTTATCCTGGTTGGAAGCTCTACAAACCCTCATGGTTTAGAGCATAAAGCAAATTCTGACCCATTTAAGACAGGGACCAGAGTTTGCTTTGTGTTGCCAGTAACCTGGGGTGTAAATTAGAATGCTTAGGAAGTGTGCACGATGCCAGCTCTGGATCACTGAGTTTTTTCCTGTGAACGAAGGGTTAAATGCAGTGTGTGGTGGGTTTAGGTGACTAGATAGCACTTGGCAATTAAAACAGCCTTTCCGTGTTCCCTTGAGTTATTTCTACTGTCACAGAGTGTTCCTCTTTTTAATTAGGATGTTTTAAATATAGTTACTGTAGAGTATTTTACAATATGTGAAAAAAACTAACAGAATAATATAATGATGTTAGAGACTATGATTTGCCATTAAATACTCTTTAGACATTGCTCTGGGTTGTCTTTCCTTTAAATACCGAACCGCTATAGCTGTACCATTACCTCGTGTTTATTTTTCTGTGTCCTGTACATTTGGCGTAAAATAACACAGATTTTATTTTCCAAGTGTGTCCAAGGGAATTGTGCCAAATACACATTTTTATTGCTTGGCTGCAAAAGGAGCGGAAGGGTCCCAAAATCCAGTAACAATATTTTCAGTCCTGGGCAATTCAAAACAATGAATTGTCTCAGTTCTATCTTCTACCTCAGTCCTCAGCTTAGAAATAACAAAGATGAACAGATTAGGCACTGTTTCCTTAGAGTTTCCAGCTTTTAGAGTATAATTTTCCAAGGTTTTCTATGTGATGAGGCAGTCTAGAGCTACCCACGCACGCTGGTGCTCACACCGGCACCTTTTTTAAAGGAAGGCTGAGTTTCTTAACACCAGCACCTTTTTTAAAGGAAGCCTGAGTTTCTTAACACCAAATATTGGCTGGAGCTAGGAGAAAAGCATTACTGGGCGAGCGTTGGTTCCTGCGAGGTGGCAATGCTTCAGCTGGGCGCTTTGGATGTCTGCTACTGACTTTAATAGGAGAGGAACCAGGACTGTTTGTTATAACCATTTCTCAAAAGGGAAACTTACAGCTTATTGAAAAAGTGGATATGAAAAGCACAAACTTGCACTTTTCTTGCCAAGAAGCGTACAGATTATGTCACTGCATTTATTTAAGTCTGGTTTCCATGACGCAGTTTTTCTGCTTTTCCCCCCACACCCCATCTGGTTCTCAGACACTCAGACAGGGCTGGGCAGCAAACCCTGCAGGACAAAGCTCCAAGCTATGTAAAAAGATATAATTTAGATTAAAAAAATATATAATTTAGGTAATATATGCTCTTAAATGTATTTGTATATTATTGATATACAGTTGTCAGTTACTGATATGAGGAGCCCTTCAAAACAGACCGTTAGTTTTGCAGGGCTTCTATTTTTAATGAAATTCTGCAATTGTTATTTTTTTAAGAGTTCCTCCTGCTTGCGCACCTGGAGGCAGAAGCTTATACCCTTACGGCAGCTCTGCAACCACCACAGGTAGTCAGTCTCCTGTTCCTAGATTCCCCCATCCAGACAGACAGACAGACAGGGTCCTGACTTGTTTATACAGCAATCGGTTTGCCCTTCCAGTTTAACACTCTCCAATTATAAATGGGTAATTTTAGGATGTGATTGATTCCAGCATGGAGACCAGCCAATATCGGGCTCAAAAATCCGTATGCAAGTGTGTGAAACATGAAACATGCATCAAACATGAAATAAAAAATTCTTGGAAACGGAGCAAGCATCTTTACTGTTTAAGGGGCTAAGCCTCATTTTACGTGCAGCACCACCATATACGTGGGATAATTTCTATTCTGCTCTACCAAACATCTGAATTCTGCCCATACCACCTACTGAAAGTCCAATTTTGTCTCTATTGCACTTAATTCTGGGCTTTTCCCTGGGAGATCCTGCCAAACGGCGTTAAAATCACTTGTGGTTTGCATGGGATGTGCGAACAGCCCCTTCTTGCACGCAAAACTGGACAGCATCCTAGGGAAAATGTTTTATTCACTAGTGAGCCAGCCAGGAAATGTCTTTGGGATAAAAAATGAGGTGCAAACTGCAGCAAAACACAGCATTTTAAAACAAAATGTTGATGTTAACGCCGCCGGGGCACTCTGCAAACTCCCACCCGCGAAGAGCCACAACGCCAGGGCACCCTTGCGAGCAGAAAAGCCAGAAAAACTGCTGCCAAGTTCAGGCGGGCTCTACATAACTTAAATGATTTTATTATATATGGTCAGTGGGACACGTAATGGGATGATTAATGGGTTTATAAACACGTTAGAGAGCTCTCCCAAAAAGGAGACTTGCTCTTTGGATTACCCCAACTCTTATGTATTAGAAGACTGGCGAAGCTTAATAAAACCTAAGCTGGCTTGAGCTCAGTAAATTAATCTTGATTATAAATCGTGGTGGGAGCAGGGGCCGGAGGCTGCAGGTCTCCTCAGGAGTGGTCAGGCTGGGGACAGCAGCTCCCAACAGCGGGTGGGCCTGTTGCCCCTGGGCTTTGGGAGGTGGGGGGGGTGATGGAGCTGCTGAGTGAGGGCTGGGGACTTGGTCTGCGGCAAAGCGGGGTTGGAAGCACCCGCCAAAACGGGCAGTCCCCGGAGCGCCC